TCAGTCTAGTTGTGGAGGACGTTGCTTCACTGGCCCAAGTTGGCACCATCATTGTGCTCTTCCCTGGCGAGGCAGATCAGTCGCTGGCTTCTGGACGGCTGCTCACAGCAGCTGCTGGCCACTCACGCTGGCTGCTGGCTACACACGGTAGCCCATGGCAACCCACCTGCCGATGCAGGTGACTCTTGGCAGCCCAGCTCCAGGTTGAGCTGCTGTTCAGCATCTTAGCTGTAGAGTGCAGTGTCACTGGCCCTCATATGTGGGATCCGAACTGGGGCCCTCTGGCATCCCAAGCCAGCTCTTAACCAACCTGCCACTCGGCCAGCCCTGGAATGTGCATTTTTACCTGCACCCAAACAGTCCTGCAATATGAGCTACTGGTCATGAGGGGGCCAGATCAGATTGTCTGGTCACAGTCTGCTTTAGGTGACACGATTAAGGGAAATAATTTAAATGTATAGCCTTCTTCTATAGGCAGCCAAGCAGCACAAACCCCTCTACTATATGCAATGCTATATTGTAGAGTTCTCCTAAGTTTTTACATATCACCTTCTTTCAGAAGCACTAACGGTCTGACAGAAGGCTCCTTGCTCTCTTTGGTCCTTTCTCACAGTGGAATCAAAGCTTAAAGGTTTTTGTTTACAAATCTTCTCAGGATCCACTGTCTGCTTGTTTGGTCCCCTCAGTACACTCCATTACAGGGTCAGCTTTTGGGGCAAGTGACCTGGACCTAGGCCAAGCTGGCACAGTTGAAAGGTATGGAAATCAACGCCTCATAGTTGACATTATTCTATTCCCGGGGCTGGCATTAATGACTGTCTCAATTTTAGCCGTAAGTGAAAGACAAGGCAAAGTATGTTTAAAGCAGTGGGAACGGATCAGTCATAGCAGAAATATACATTGCAAGGTGGTGGTGGTGGTGGTGTGGCGGGGAGTCACATTTTGACTGATGTTAGTCTTAATTGTCCACTTACTTGTATGTCTTTATCACCTACCTACCCAACATTCCAAAAATATACACATACAGTACCTGCCAATGTACCAGGTACATAAAAGGATTATGGGTGGGCCTACCTATTGCCTCTCACATCCTTTTTGGCCAGAGATCAGGCAGTGACTTTATGCTCCCTGGTCCTGTATACACGGGTCCTTCATAGCACCTGTATAGCGTCTGCCAGGCCTTGGATCCAGGCGGGCTGGAGTGGCAACCACCAGCAGATCCCTCAGAGAAACATCATGGCTGTGAGAACTCTGCAAGTGGAGGAGGGATGGCATGTCCAGTGGCCTCTTCTCACCAGAGCTTTGGCTGCGGGACAGGGAGAAGTTGTCTGCAAAGGCAAAATCATTGGCATCATCAATTTGTGCTGCTGAACAAATTCCTGGCCAAGGCCACCTCCCTCTAGGGTCCCCAGGTCTAAATCTGATCTTGAATCAGAATCAGCCATTGTTTCTTCTCTCCAAGTAGTTTCCTTTCCCTGTGTCTTCATACTTAATGCCCCCAACTGGTACAGACTCAGCTGAATAGGCCTCATCTGAATGAGAACCAGGAAATGTTGAAGAGGGTACTTAGACATAGCATTCCATTTTTATCTTTCTTGTCTTCCCAGTAAGACTAGGACTTCCTAAGAACATGGACTATGTCTCCACCACCAGACTAGGGTCTCCCTGAGGACAGAGGATGTACCCCCTCCCACCCCATCTCAGACTGGGTGCTCCTCAAAGATTAGGATGGGTTCTGTTAGTTATTCCACCCCCTAAGCTCTTGGCACATCCCTGTACATGCTGGCATTCACGTGACTGGTTATTCCATACCAGCTTCGGGTTGTAGGTACCTGGGAATAAGGACTTCTCCTTCAGTTGAACTTTGGTGAATAGCTCTGATAGCAGATGCTGTTTCTTCTTTAGTGAAGTCCAGCTTGGGTTCGGATTCCCCAAGAAGTGCTGGGATTTTGTAGGCAGAGAAATATTTGATATTTTCTGCTGGATGAGGTGCTGGGGGATTTGCTGCCGCTTACATTTAGAGGAGACCATCCTGTTCAGCTCTGGGCTCCTGCATTCAAAGCTGGTCTTCACAGTCATGCTCAGCAGAGACTCAGGGGAGTCTGAGACCTGAGTGCTGGATTCTGGAGAGGTTTCTACTGAACTTAAGGGCTGAAAGAGAAAACAGTCCAAAATGAGAGTGTGGAAAGCAAATAATTCCTTCCTATGCCATTCTTGATTTAAATGAACAGATTAAGAGCTGAGTTCATTAGTAGCAAGAAATATTAGGTCAGGATAGTTTACTAACCAGGAACTAATTAAATTCTAGGGCAGAAGATGGTGGCAAAGATGGAACAGCTATTGCTGTAAAAATGGAAAATCAACTGTCACATTAAATTATATTTTTGATGTGAATTTTATTGGCGTTTGTTTTGGTTTTGTAGTGACTTAAGAGTTTTTTTTTAAGTATAAAGATTTTGTATCTGGTTTTATGCTTGTATGTATTTATAAAAAAATAATTTAAGTCTATACGTTTTCTTTCCTTCAAAAGGTGTCCATACATCAATGGAGTTTGAGAAACACTGCTTAGGTGCTGGACTCCCCAAATTCATATACCCCCCACAACCTCAGAATGTGACCTTATTTGGAAATAGGGTTACTTCCAGATATAATTAGTCAAGTTAAAATGAGGTCATACTGGATTAGGACGAGTCCTAAATCTAATGACTGGTGTCCTTAAAGAAGACCATGTAAAGATACACAGAGGAGAAACATAAGGAAGAAGTCCGTGTGATGACAGAGGCAGAGACTGGAGTTATGCTGCCACAAGCCAAAGAACCAAGGATTGCCCGCAACCACCAGAATCTAGCAAGAAGCAAGGAAGGATCTTCCCTGAAGAGCTTTCAAATGGAGCACGGCAACGCTGACACCTTGTTTTCAGACTTCTAGCCTCCAGAACTAAGGAGAATACATTTTTGTTTTAAGCCACCAAGTTTGCAGTAATTTGTTACGTCAGCCCTAGGAAACTAATAATACAATAGGTGGTACCCTGCCTAAAAAGAGGGGATGTGTAAGGTGGCCTTTCTAAACGCCCTAAAGTATTGGTCTCTACTCATAGCAGTTATGCCATTCTGCAACTTGGACTTCACAAGTGCAGAAATTGAAGCCCAGGGAGGTTAAGCCTTATTCAAAGGGCCATAGCAAGTCAGGGGCAAAGAAGGGACCAGAAAGCAAGGCTGCCACCACTGCCACCTGAGCTCAGCCCTCTGGAAGGTAGAACATTCCACTTACCAGCGTGCCGGTAAATATGTTCAATGCAGAGGCAGACTTGACTTCCTTGATTCTGGAGATGAGTTTACTGAGCTCCAGCCTGGAGCAGCAGAGAAGGCTTGAATTCCTCAGGTCAGGTACAGAGTGGTAATGCCACGCAGATGCAAGCTTAGGGGGAGCAGGGCCATCCTCCTCCTTGGGGGCCTCCTGGTCGAGGCTGCTGTCTGTCTCATTTTTCTTTGCATCTCTGACATTTGAGAGCAAGTCAGGTGTGCAGGACACTAATGTCAATGGCTGGAGGTACTGGGAAGGAGGAAACCAAACACACAGCCTGTGGGAACCCAGCTCCATTCTCTTCCAGATTCATCTGCACCCAAAGGTAGGTGCAATGGAGATAAGGAGAAGGAAAGTGATTGGTATCAAAGTCTCTCTAATTTGGGGCTCTTAACCTGGAGTTCTGGGACTCCGAAAGGGCTTATGGATGGTTTCATGGGGTCTCTGAGCCACTTAAAACTGTAGTTTCAAAATTGTACCTTTGTATACACATACTTTATGGCAAGAGATTCCATAGCTTTGATCAGATTCTCAAAGGGTTCATGTCCCTAACAAAGTTATTAAAAAAACAAAAAGCAAACTCAAAAACCCTGCTCTACTTCAGGTAAGTCTTTGAGAAAAAGGAGATAGACTGAAAAGTCAATTGACTCTTTCCAGTGAGCCAGAAGAGAGAACAAGGCAGAGAAGGGGGAATCCAAAGGTTCAGATCATAGGACAACTGGACAGCTGGCCCACAGCCGGGACTGGTCCACAGCCAGGGGCTGGTCCACACACTGAGCAGAGAGCAGGCTGGGAGGACCCAGCAGGGTCAGTCACCCTATATAATGTTCTGAGGGTCCTGCCTCCCAGAAGCTCTTCCCTGTGGCCTCCTCTCTCAGCTGTGCCCCTGGCCTGCTGGAAGGAAATGTTTCAACTCAAACCAGAGCTGGGTGCAATGAGTACATGCAGTCCTGGAGCCCGCTTCCCTGTGCTCAGCCTCCCAGCTGCTAGCTCCTACTGGAGGTGGCAAGAAGGACAGACCAGTGAGCATCCTCTCTGCCTGAATGGAGGGATCCTCTGAAGAACGCTGGGCTCCTTGTGACTTCCGGGTTCCCCTTCCTGTGGCCCAGCCCTCTGTGCAGCCCCATTCCTTCAGTGTGTCTGGGCTCTGAGTAGTGGTCGCCTCAGTATCCCCCCACGGATTGGCCCCAGCCGGGGAAGGGTGCTGGGTACCCATGCTCCCCTCCCCTCTGAGTTTACTTGTTTGGAGGCGTGGGTGGTAGCTGCTTTGTATTTCTGCAATTGTGTCTGTTGCCAGCTTCTCGAGCTCTTGCCTCTTGTTTGCTCGCCTGCCGATTCCCCCTGCATCTCGACCTTCTTCTCTTTAGTTTGGAAGGATTTTTTCTCCTGCTTTAGTCTCAGCTCCTGGATCAGTTGCCTGCCCATTGAGGAACAGTGAGTGTCATTAGGTGAGGGATGGGTTGCGAATGCGGATGGTCAAGACTGAGCAAAGAGCCGAGTGCTCCACCTTCCCTCCCCGAGCATGTCCAGTCTGCACAAGTGACTGAAGGTCACAGAGCGGGAGGTGGAGGAGGGCCATCCCTCCAAATATACCATTCCCAGTCTGGAGAATAGTATCCAAGGAGAGATGCGCAAGAAGGGGACTATACCCCACTCTACCACTACCCTATCTCTCTCCTCACCTCCCAGTAGGCCAGATTGCATACATGGCAGGTGCTGGGAAGAGGGTCAGGGCAGGAGGCCAAAGCCCGGGGCTCCCACATTGAACCACTTCATATCCTGGGCCTCTCTGGCCAGTGATGTAGTGGAAATTACATAGTCATATGACTCAAGAGACTCTTTTGTCACTATCTGCTGTATGATCTCTGCTCTGCCCTCTCGTTCCATAAAATGAGGTGGTGGGTGGGGATTGGACTGGATGGGAGGAGTCCCTTCTAGCTCTTAGATTTTATACCTGCATGAATCCAGGAGGCAGCTCTGACGGACTGGGCATTCTGGAGTGGGGTCAGGGAGGTGCCTGTCTCAGGGGCAAGTTTCTAGAAACAGCCACACATCTACTTAATAACACCCATGCCAGGGACTCTTACGATTCCTAGTCCTTGTGAAACTAAAAGCAAATGTTCCCCTGGCAACTTCAAGGTTGGGGAATGAAGCTCAGAGACCCTCCTCACGGTCCCAGTTCAGTTACCCAGCAAGTTAAGCGCCATCCTCCCAACACCCCGCCCACCTTGAGGGTGTCTGCCTACCGGGCATACACCTCCCGGGCCCTGGAGGTAACCGTATTCTGGAAGAGGGAATTCTTGTCCTGGAAAAACTTCTCATACTTCTCCGAATTCAGACTGGGATAAATCAGGCGGAACTCTCCACAATTTTCCTTCTCATACTTCTCAGTTTTCTCTAGACGCACAGCCCGAAAACCCTTGACTTCCTCCATCCTGTTGGGAAGCAGAACATAGGGCTGCTCTGAGACATGGCTTAATTCTTGGAAGGGACATGGCCAAGCTGGATGTCATCTAGGGCCAGGCGGGGATCTTGCACACAACGGTGGTCAATCAGTATTTCCTAAATGCTTCCCTGAGAGGAGATGCTAGCCCTTCTGGGATAGCCAGTGTCATAACGCACTGAGAGCTGGTGAGAATAGTCTTCTAACGGGTCACCAAATTCTCTCCTGTTACAAGTAAAACCCACTTCCCTTTTGGCTTAGTTCTGATGAGAACGACTGTCGCTATCTTCCCAATCACGGTCCCTATTACCCCTCTCTGGAGAATGACAGCTTGTGTTTTGCTAAATTTGAGGGCTTTTCGGATGAGCTCGATGAGCTTTTATGAGCTGTGATGATCTCATTCTTCCTCACAGCCCCTTCGGGAGATGGGGTTCAGGGAGGGGGAAATGAGAAGCCCCTTTTATAGTAGGGAAACCAAGAGCCACTGAGCTATCCAGGGCCAAGTCGTGACAAGGAGAAAGATTCAGAGATCTCTGGCTGCTCCTTACCTGACGCTGCCTCCTCCTCAGGGAGTTTAGGGAAAGCTGGCCCAGTGGAAGGCACCCTAGAACCCCAGACCACACAGCCCCTGGGCTGTGGGTCCAGACCTGCCACTTACCAGCCCGGAGTCTTTGTCTCCTTAGCTTCAAAAATGGGACCATACAACAGCCCCCACTACCTGCCTATCAGGCTCCTTCTAGGAAAGACTACACGTGAAAGTGCTCTGAGAAACACAGTGCCATCCAAACCCAGTTCCAGAAGTTTAACCTCAAAGGACCAGGCTGGCTCCTCTCATGAGGAGGGCAGGGGCCACAGTGGGATCTGAAAAGCAACACAGGCATCTCCTTGACCAGGTTTGGGGTCTTCTGATTCTAGAATCACTCTGCAGAAGGCCTCTGTGAAAAGGCAAGCACTGCCCAGCAGGGAGCAGAGACGCATTAGCTCCTGCCAACACAGGAACTAAAATAAAGGAATGGTTTCACTTTTTGTATTGGTGATTCCAGAACAGTCATGTGGTATCAGTGAACGCAGATCCATTGTATATAGTTATGTCTATAATTTAAATCTCCTGTTTTTAGGAACAAAGGAATATTCACAGTAAAATTGTTCAAACTGCCACATTCTGCAAATATAAACTAACTTTCCAAGTAGGATTATCATTTGTAAGAATGGACCCCTCTCCCCACCAACTTCAGGCAAGATTCTTAATAGTCTCTAACACAACTTATAGTGCCAGACCTTTTATACACATTATCTCATTTAATCTCCCCAATCAACCTTAGTTCCATATAACAGAAAGAATACTGAGGCTTAAAGAGGTGACATAAAGGTCACATAACTAGTAGGCTGTCGAGTTGCAATTTGGACCAGGATGGACCAGTCTTATTGGGAGCAGAGAAGTCATAAAGAATGGGGTCCCTGAGGGGCAGAGGACCCTACTGTACCTGGCCTCCCGAGAACGACATTGCTGCAGGAACCGGCCCCGTTGCCTCTCCTCCTCCAAGACTTTCTTTTTGTCACAGCTTCCCAGGTTGATCAGAACCAAGGTATCATACAGCAGGCTGTCCTTCACCTCTTTATCTAAACAGGAGTCGGTGGAAAAGCTCGGAGAGTGGTTGACCTGTTGAGGGCAAGATGGCAGCTGGAGGCTGGGAGTGAGACCAAAAGGCCACCTCCAAGGAGCTACCTGAGCCCACCTTGGGGCCCTGGCTACCAAGATGAGTGGAAGGGAGAGGGAGAGAAGGTCTGGACTGAAGCCACAGTGAGGAAAGGAGGAAGTGGAACCCACTGTAGTTTAACTAGCTTTTATTTTAGTCCTTTCTTCTTAAGAAGCATCAGGAAGTGCCCAGTCTTTGGTTTTCCCTCCCTCTCGTGTGTGTTCTCTCACATGCACTGTGCATTCCATAGAGCCAGGTGGGAAGGTAGGGAGTAGAAAGGAGTGATGTATTTAGGATCCTGACTGAGGTTGAGGGGGAGGCAAGTGGGAGGAGAGAAGGATTCATTCCTGCTCACAGAAAAGTCCATATTGTTCAGAGGCACTATGTGCATTTGAAACCTTCTAGCCGTTTCTAAAGGCTTGCTTCTGGTGGCTAATTCTGCTCTTTGGGTAAGAGCTCCAAACACGGGAACAGGACTGGGAATGGGGGAAAGGCAAGGTTCTAGGAATCTGATCTACAATTCTGAGTTCTTCACTCTGAAGGCTGACTCTGTCACTGACAGCTGGTACTAGCACTTCTGATTATACCCCACCCACACCCACACCCCCGCTCCCTGTGTGCATACTGAATGGCTGCTTGAGAGGGCTGCTGAGCACAAGTTTAATCCAGAAGAGAGAGAGCCACCCAGAAGCTTCTCTTCCTCCTCTTCCCACTACCCACTGGTCTGGGGGAGGCAGGAAACTCACTGAATGGCTCCCCACCCATTCCTGTAGCCACAGACAGCAGGTCATTCTCTGTTGGTGCTTGGAACTGAGTGGTCCAGGCCCCAGAGAGCCAGGCCTGGCAGCTCTCATCTGACCTTGTACATCGCCAACCCAGCTTTGATGAAGAATACCCCCTTTTTGGGAGATGACTCTGTTACAAAAGGTAGACCTGTCTTTTGAATCACTCTGTGCCTGAGATCAGAGTTTCCAAGTTTGCGTGGACCTCAAAAAGGCACCAGGAATTCTCTAATTCCCGGCTGTCTACCTCCCTCTGGTGGCCACTTCTCAGCTAAGGGAGAAGCCCCAGGCCGCAAGCACTGCGGGAGGAACTGGTGCAGGAAGTTGATTAAACTGATCTAGCTGAGGGAGGAGAGATGAGCCTGAAACCAGCTGACCCCAGTAATGAGGCCAATTTTCACCCCTCACCCCAAACTTCCTACCTCCAGCAGCCAGGGCTTGAGTTTGTGGTCCAACAAAATGTCGAAGCCCAGGATTTCAAAGCAGGCGCTGTTGAGTGTGTGGTTGGGGAAGCAGGTGTGGTAGTTGTGCTTGATGATGGGGTGGGCTGAGATGATCGTCTTGACGATGACGTCCTCGATATCTCTCCATATCTGCTCCACATTGTAGCCATGTCTCTCCATGTACATGTTGAAGGTGGAGAGCTTCCTGGAGGGGAACCACAGGCCATAAGGCAGGGCAGCCCACCTCTGGTCATACAAGTCCATGGCATGCTGTAAACCAGAAACTTCTGGATGAGATAAGGCCCCTGAGCCAGCAGGGATGGACATGCAGGAGCCAGGGTGACACCAGGGCTGGGTCAGCTCAGGAGGGGCCTGTGAGAGCCGTGGCGCCACATTCTTCAAGCCTCCACAGCCCTGGAGTAGGCACAGATATATTGAATGACATGTTAAGACCTGCCTGGGCACTTTCACTGTGACCCAGAAAACACTCATGGGCTGTGGCAGGGACAGAATATCCTGGATAGAAAGTTTAATGGACGAATTAAAAAAATAAAAACCAACATCCTACATCATGGGGTTTGCTTTGGTGGAAATTTCTGAGCCTTTGGTGTTCGACAGAAGTACTGAGGGAGCCTTTTAAGAACCCACTACCTGAGTTCCACCTCAGCCATCTGAGAGACTTCTGGGGACACTAAAGACACAGAAATGTTGTTTTAGGACTACCCACAAGGAAAAAACAGCCCCAGGACACTTCCACAGATAGGGTTACAAACTGCCTCGGGCAAACCAGGATAGTCCAGACTTTAGAACTGAAAGTCCAATATCCCAGGAAACCCTTCACTCGCAGGCCAACTGAGGGATGGCTGGTAGCCCTGTCACAGAGATCAGAGGATGTCTACCCCATGTGGAGAGGTTTGTGAGGAAACATCTGAGTGGATGCCCCAGGCAGCGCCACGCTGGGCTATAGTACAGAGAGGGAGCAAATCTGACAGGTCCAGAGGCAACGATGGATGGGGGCAGACACCCACGCACCCCTTCACATGCAGACATGTGTGCACAGAGAGTTGAAGTGGGAAGTGGAAACATGGGAGGAGGAGAGGCAGGGAGTGAAGAGTAGAGGGAAATGAGAAGACAAGAGACATGGCTCACTGAGGCAGTTCAAAGAGCTCATGGGACCCCAGCCAATGGAGTCAAAAAAGGAGGATGTGGGATCGGCCAGCCAATGCATATTTCAAGGGCCTGCTGTGCATACAAAGCTCATGCAGATCCCAAGAAAATACCACTCTGTCAGGGGAAGCCTAAGGACCCTTTGGGGAGTCAACACACATATGAAACAACCAACGATGCATTTAGATAAAGACAGATAAGCAAAGGCCACTTAATATCCAGGCCCATACCCTCTACCTGCCATTGTCAGGGACTGGAGTGTTGCATGTAAATGAATTTTCCAGGATTGCTTGATGCCAATCCTTTCAAGTGCAAAAAAAAAAAATGTATTTAAATTGTCAAATTGGGAAGTAAAATTTCCCAAAGAAGATTATATACTTCCTTGCCCTCTTATAACAGACTTTATGAATCATAACATAACCTCTTCATGATGACTCAGGCATATCACAAGGAGTGAATACTGTGTAATTTCATAACATCCAGTGGTTAGTCAGTTCAATTTAACATACCAGCTAAGTGCCAGGCACCCTGAAAGATAAAGAGGACCTGATCTCTGCCCCAGAGGTCTGCCAGGTGTCCAGTTGTTGTTGTTTTTTTTGTCTTCTCCTTCACTACTCCTACTGAGTTTGCAGCCTGGTGGGGGATTGATCAGGGGTGTAGTTGGCTTCAAGCTGGGGAGCGGGTAGTTGGGGGCAGGTGAAGCAGTCAGCATGAAAAGCAGATTGTCTCAAAAATGGGGAAGAAAAAGAAGAAGAAAGGAGAAAAGAAAAGGAAGGGAGAGTCCGCCTTCGGACTCTGCCTGGCAACATGGGAAGCACCAGAAGGCCAGGGTACCATTCTAACCCTCAATGGGCTTAAGTTCAACAGGGCACACAAGACAAACACGGCACTAAGCAAAGAGCAGTTATGGGCTCTGGCTGATGTTGACCATAATGGTGGTGGGAGTCCAGAGATGGAAAGGTCACAGCAGGTGGTTAGACTCAGATTCCACAGGCTTGTCCTTAGAGATGGAACCCAGTGCGCTCATCTGATAAGTGAGGAAACGGAGGCCCACAGAGAAGATGGGTTTTGCCCACACTACAGTGGTTATGTGGCTGGACCAGAATCCAGAACGCGGTCAGAGAAGGCAACGTGGGAGCTTAATGAGACAGAAGGGCCTTCAAGGATGCTTTCACATGTTTTCAGTTGGAGCTGAGCAAAGGAAGAGAGGTGGGAATGAGCAAGGCCTTATATCAAGTATGAGCAAAAGAGTGTCCTGGTAGAACATCATGGAACGAATAGAACAGGCAGTGTTTGCTAGTGGCTAAGGGCATGGCCTCAGGAGTTTTCATTCCAGCTCTCCCACATCCTAGCTGTGCAACCTTGGGCAAGTTACTTAACCTTTTTACACCTGTTTCCTAATATGCAAAATCGGGATGATCATAATACCAGGGGTGCCAAAAAATGTGTACAAGTGGACACTGTGGTCAACGTTGCTCGAGCAGTAGTTCGCCATAATCAGAAGTGTCTGGACGCTGATGGTAACCACTTTGAGCACCTCTTGTAATTGCAGAAGTCAAACGTGACTTGTGTTCATCTTTTGTTATCGGTATATATTGAGTGTTACAATTTGAATAGGTTTTTCCTTTCTTAAAATGTGTACACATTTTTTTTTTGCACCCTCTGTATAGTGTTGTTGAAAGGATTAACTGGGTTGAGGTATGTAAATGTCTTACAACAGCGCCTGGCATATAACATGTGTTCAACAAATGAAATGTTGACTCTTAGTGTAGTGGTAAAAATAGTGGAAAGTGGCATCTGGTCAAATTATAGTAGATTGAGCAAAGGAATTTGAACCTGATGCTCTAGGCACCTGGGACCCACATTGGTTACTGAGAGTAGAAGTAATGAGTATATGGAATGTATAATAATAACAGCATCTACTTGCATGGGGGTTATTGTTTTTGAAGCCCATTCATACCTATCATCTCAACTGGTCCTTAAGACATCTCTGTGAGGCTGGCCAGCCAGGATTCTTGTTTTATTATGTCATTTTAGAGATGAGAAAATAGGGGTACAGAGAGGGTAAGCAGAAGTGCCTGGAGCTAGGGAGAAGAGCGAGGAGGCTGATGGAGCCATCGGGTCTGAGGCTGAAGCGAGGTCTGGGCCTACTGGAAAGGGACACGGGGACATTTGAAGGAGGAATGTCCAGGATTCAATGACTCAATGGAAAAGGAAACATCCAAGATGACACTAAACTCTGATCCTACCGATTTAGAAAGTAGAGATGGGGGAGTTGGGCAGGGGAACCAGTTTGGAATGCTGAGGTGGAAGCAAGGAGACAGAACACAACCATGTCGGGAAATGCTAAGTTGGAGGCAATAGGGTACAGCTGAGGAGAGATGGGCCTGGAGCTCAGGGGACACAGGCTGAACCAAGCAAGGGCAGGGTGGAGGCCAGGGGAGCAGATGACTGCTCCAGCAGAGAGGGTGCATGGAGAGGATCAGAGGGGTGAGTCCAGACCCGGGGTGAGAGAGCGGTGAGGAGAAGGAAGAGGCCGGGGGGAGGGGGAATGGAGGGCGGCAGGGCAATCCTGCACACCCTCACCTTCGTCCCCCATAACACCCTCTTCATCACAGCCTGAGGGCCCCAAGCCTGTTGTTGGAGTGTTAGTTCTCATAAGAGGAGGACAATGAGGGCCCTTTGATTACACACCCTTAGACTAAGGAAAAATCACATTAGCCACAAGCACTGTCCATGCTGCTATCATGGAGTCATGTGAGTCTCACAGTGACTCTACGAGGTGAGGAGGGCATGGCAGGGCAGGGTAGGGCATCTTATCACCCTCATTTTACAGAGCAAGAAATGGAGGCTTGGAGAGATGAAGGGACTTGCCCAAGCAGACTCAGCTGGAAAAGTCAGCGCGGGACTGGAAAATCAGGCCTCACTGAGCACTGAAGCTCCACATGCAAACAGCACAGGAGTCTCTGCCGGTGCCCACAGTCCAGGTGGGGAGAGGAGGTGGGAGAGCTTCAGGCAAGAGGGGTGGCTGGTACCTTCTAAAAAGGGGGGATCACTTCCACCCAGCCCAACATGTCCCCTCAAGTAGGTTTAATCTGGTGATTTTCCATTTGGTTTTTGGAGCTCTGCCGCTGAGGGAGTCATGAAATTATCAGTGTCTCTCTGATGCTCTGAAGCCAAACAGACTGCCTGCTGATTAGTCCTTTAAAGCCTGGTGCAGAAGGAGCATGGAGTCTAACAGACCTACCTTCTCATCCTGCTCTAGCATTTATAGCTGTGTGGCCTTGACAACTTACTTAACCTCTCTGAGACTCAGTTTCCTCATCTGCAAAACAGAAATGGCACCTAATTCATAGTTCTCCACCTACAAAGGATAGAGTATAATGCCTCTGCCATAGTGCTGTGAAAATTCAAATTAAAAAAAAAAGCACACAAAGCACCCAGCTTGGGCCCCAACACACACGAGGCCACCATAAATATTTCCTTTTTCTTTCCCCTTTGCCTGGTCATGTTCACATTCTTCAGTCCTCCTTTTTCTTAAAACTCAAATGAGAACAGGATTAGATGATAACATGCATGTACAAGATGCTTGGGAAGATATTCATGCATTCCTCTCATTTTTCCTCCTTCTTCTGGAGAATCTTACAGCCAGCCAGCCACATGTCATGTCACACATGACACATCATTTGAGAATCTCTGTTGGAGCAACACCCCAGGGAAACACAGGCTTAGGAACAATTGCCTGCCCTATCCTTTTCCCAAGGCAGACCAGCAATCAATAAATATCTGTCGGTTTGGAAATGTCAGAAGGGTCAACTGTAACAAGGATATGTTTTGGTGTGTGTGTATGTGTGTGTATCCTGCTGGAGAAACAGTTCATGTTTATCTGTCCTCCTCCCATCCTCCTAGGGTTTTACGATGTAGCCTTCTATTAATGATTAACAGCCAGAGGGCAGAGACTAAGGCGTCTGTTCTGGGTTTAGAGGCAAAGGAACATTTTCTGAGACGGTGTGATCCAAGATGGCAACACAGATGGGGACTGGCCGGGTTTGGGTAGAATCCCAGAGAGCAGCTCTGAGACCGGCAGGGAAAGAAAAGAGAAGGAGAGCTGCTGCCTTACCTCTTGCTGCCAGAGTGAACATCTCGAATGAAATTGGAACTGTGCTTATTAATGGAATAATTCGTCAGGTGCATGCAGATATCCTCCTGGGGAAGAGACACAAGTGTGCGGGGTCAGGAGGAAGGCCAGGCTTCCCACTTCCTCTCTGTGCCCGCCCATGTCCCCTAGGGCTTAGAGACAGGGAAGAAAGGGGAAGTTTTCGGGCTTATTTAAACGGCAAGACAGAGGAAGTAAGAATGATTATCCTACAGCTTGGAGTATAAGAAACTCCAATTCCTCCTGAGAGTGGGTGGTGCCCTGCCTGAGGAACACTTCAGAAGTACTGGAGGACTTGGGATGTGGGGGTAGGAATGGGGGCTCGTCCAAGGCCTGCCCTCCTACCATGGAACTGTGGCACTGGCTTTGCAGTCAAGAAGTAGCCACGAGTCCCAGCCTGATCTCTTCCTAGTTCTGTGACTTTAAACAAGTCCTTATACTCGCTGGGTTTTCATTAACGCTCTGTAAAAAGGAGGCGATAATCCCTATTTCTGAGGGCTCCTGGGAGGGCTAAGAAAAAAGAATGTATGCAACCTGGCGTACAGTAAGTGCTCAGCAAATGATAGCCACACCCACAATGTTTGAGAATGTGGATTTAACTCGGGTTTTGCCTTTGTTTCTGTTTTTTTAAATCACACGAAGGGAGGAGGGGGAGGAGACATGTCCCCTGAGCTTACCAGGTTGTCTGTGCAAGGAGGGGAGTAAGAGGTTGTGGCAAAGCGGACCAGTCCTTCACTGTATGCAAAAATCCTGAGAGGGTCACAGGATGTCATCAGCACATAAACCCGTAGGTCAAACTTGAATCCATCAATGATAAAGGGCTGGGAGGAGAGAACAGAGGTCACACAAGCATCGAAGGAGAAATTCAGACTTGAAGATCATTAGCGCCCCATCTAGTTTTCGAGGTGTCAGCTCCAACATTGCCTGGTGTTACACAGTGTAGGCTTGGCCAGGGCTGGGGGGCAGGAGGAGAAGGGGATTCGGGATTTGTGACCAGCCATGTGACCTTGTAGAAGTCACTAACCCACCCTGTGCCTCAGTTTCCTGATTTGTTAAATGGCATGAGTAACCACCTCCAAGAGATCTCCTGGCAACTATACAAGGTAACATTAAGAAGCCCTGTGATGGGACCAGCCGAGTGGCACATTGGTTAAGAGGTGGCTTGGGATGCCAGCTCTGAGCAGCAGGGCCCCAGTCAGATCCCACATTAGGGCCAGTGACGCTGTGCCCTC